CGCCGCCGCCGCCGCTGCCGCCGCCGCCACCGCCGCCGCCGCCGTTGTTGGTTGTCGTCGTTCGTCGCGCGTGTGAAGTCGATTCGCAGATTCGCGGAGGGGGAGCGCGTGTATGTATGTGTGCGCGCGCGCGCGCGTGTGTGCGCGGTGTGGCGTGTATGTGTTGAGTCTTCGCTGCGTCCTCGTTTGCTCGCGCCTTGACGCATCGGGGATACACACACCGGGGTTACCGCCGCTGACCGCCGCCGCTATCGGCCGCTGTTGCTGATTCCCGAAGAGGACGAAGCTGCGAGAACGGGCCACCTGCTATTACAAAGCATGGAGATATCCAAGAGCCTGCAGGAGGAGATCGTCTCCGTGCAAAACAAACTGCAGAAAGCGATACTCGAGCATCAGGTGAGAAAGAAAGAGAGAAACGATGCTCTGTGTGTGTGTGTGTATGTATGTGTATATATATATATGTATCTGCACGCATGTGTGTCGATAGCGATCGAGAAACAGACCGTCAAGGGGATTAAAAGGTGAAAAGAAGACGCGCGACTATGTGACCACGGAATTTCTATTACGGTTGTTTCTCAGATTATGACACGCAAGTTCTTTTTACATGTGAGGTTTGCGGAGATATTCGCACGGAAAGAGAGAGAGAGATACGAGGCCGGTCTGGCGATAATGCGATAGATCGATCGTTCGAGACTAAACTCGAACGATAGATCCACCACACAACGTCTCTCTTTCTCTTTTCTCCAGTTAATTCAAGCGTGCGTGCGTGCACGCACCTGACTGTTCGCGCGAAAACTTTCGGAATTGCGTGACTCGGCGCGAAGAACCGACGGAAAGTGATTTTGCATCGAAAGTTTCATTTACGACTCCCGAGTATGTTCGTCCTGTTTCGTTTCTCGTACTTGGCGTCTTCGTTGTACATACGCCCTCTCCAATCCGTCTTTCTCGCCTCTCTCTCTCTTTCTCTTTCTCTCTTTCCCTGTCTCTATTTTAGCCATCCGTCTCTTTCTCACTTTACACGCGTATCTTGTGCGCGCGTCGTCGTTAGCTCGACGGAAACTGTCGCGTCCGAGTCGCGAAATTCATCGCCGACTCGAGGAATTAAATTAAAAAGGTGTTTCACACACACCCGAATATATATTAATCTCCGATTTGTTGCGTGAAAACTTGTTGATTGTTTCGCTTGTCTGACAAAAGCAATGACAAAAGTTGTACATCTCCTCCAACGTACCAACCTCCTCCTCCCTATACGCTTCCATTTTCTCGAATAAATATATCAATAACACGCAAAAGTTTTTCACTTGGAGCGTCGAAGACTGACGTTTGGTTTAACAGTTTCGATAAAATTGCTCGAAACCGTGAACAATGAATGATATACGACGCTGTTACGAGGAGTCATGTGTACGGATGAATCGGATTGTCTTCGACGTTACAAAACACACGTTTACCTAACGTTTTAACCATTTATGATCGTTATTGTAACAACGAACGATGATAATATCATTAGGAGAAATTGATTTGTATTCCAGTGAAGACAAACTCTTTCAATTCCCGACGAAATCAATACTTCATGTATTTTATCCGACACAATTTTCCGCAAGGTCGAGAAGAATTTTTTCAACGATGCATGTCTCTGTCTCTGTCTCTCTCTCTCTCTCTCTCTCTCTCTCTCTCTCTTCAATCTTTTCTCTCTTTTTCTTTCTTTGATTCTTTTCTTTCTCCTTCCTCTCTCTTTATTACTAAAATATTACTTTAGAATAAGTATCGACAAACGGTAACGTTAGGTGTTTATTTTATACAATTTGCTTTACACATGATTACAAGGGAAACAGTTATTGCAGATATATATATATATATATATGTATATAATAAAGAATATATGTATTTTTTTATTATATACACAAAATATATATGTAACATATTTGTGTGTGTACTGTGTATGTGTAAAAAAGAAACAACGCTTGTGTGTCGCGGTTTCGTAATCGTTGAACGCGATTTATGTAATCGAAGTTCGCTTATTTTGTTAGAGAGAGACAGGTGCAGTCGATACTCGCGCGCGCGGAGAAGCTTTCCAAGTTTATGCTTGATTTACTTTTCCTGCGAAAATGTTGACAAGATCGTTTTCGCTTACTTTTACGCGCATGCTCCATGCGCGTTTAGCTTTGATTAATCCCCTTTATTTGCGACGAATTATGAGCGACAAAACATCTCCGAAAGTTGTACGATATTGCTTGAATGATTATCTTTGTCGATAATTACTATCTAATAAAAACAAAGGAATAAGAGAGAGTGTGTGTTGATATTTTTATAACTAACACTTTTTTTTAAATATATTTTTGATGAAATATTTAATTATAATCAAGTTGTAATTTAGTTTTTTCTCGTTATTAAATTACAGACGTGCGTGGGAAAGTCGAAGGACGACCCAAATGTGAGTATTTTTGCATTGTATTATTTGCATTGTATTATTGTTTATATTTTTTTTACCTCTATTCATCGCAATGTCTTTTTTTAACTGTCTGACGAAGAAATATGGACGTATTTCTCTCTACGCTGCCCAGCAATAAATCGGTTTCGCGAGAGGAAAAGAAAATTTTCCCCCTTCTCTCTGTGCGCAGCAGTTCTCTTTCCACGCGTCGCGCTGTCCACCACTGTCGGTCGGACTCTCGCGGCTCCGGTAAAACGGAGCGCATAGAAGGAAAAAACCCTTCCCCGCTCGCGCGGAACCGATTTATTTTTCGTGTATGTGTGTATGTGCTACGGCATTACATACAATTACGTATATTTACTGAAAACACGAATCTTTTATTAAGCGATTAAGCGATTTCATTAATTTGTATGTGTTTATTTCTCTAAATATTCCACACAACGCTTACGCACTATATATATATATACATTTATGTATTATTGCACATTAATTATGTCATCTGTTACGTCATTAATATTTCAAGAACAATTCATTTTGTAGTCGTATGATTATTCACCGTGTTACAGAACTCAGCCATTCTTGGCCAAATACAACAGATTCAGCTGCATATCATCTCTTTGGGAAGAAGCCAGGTAAGAAGCGGGGACAACAATTGATTTTCTTCCACATCGCACACACAAAGATTTGCGATGCGATCTATATAATCAGTTTTTATTTTCCAACTCAAGTTATATGAGGTCATGCGATTTCACGTTATAAATCTCTCGATAAATCAATACAGTTATTGAATTGTTTTTATAGTTTGCGTGCGCGCACACACACAGCAGAAATATAAACAACAAAATTATATATTGATCATATATCACACGGTGATGCACCGCTTTAAATTGCAAAAGCTTCGAGATACAAAAAAGAATGTCAATTAAATTTGATTGTATAAAATTTGCGATTGCGACAATTTAATTCTCTTTTGTATACGCAATTTGTACTACTTGTTCCTTTTAACTCGCTTCGGTGCGACATTCTTTTCTTCGATCGCGACGCCGTTGTGCGATAACGCGCGAGATAAATAGTTAGGATGTAACGGACGGAGACAGACGGATAATACGCAGAAGCTGCGAGAGTGGAAAAGCGCGATGCGGAGGGAGAGGTGGGAAGGAGGGTGGTAGAGCGGACGGATGAGCTAGAGAACGGGCGACAATTCAGAAAGAAAGAGCGAGAGCAACTTGGAACGAAGGAAAAGCCGAGAGACAGAGACGGAGGAGTTCAAAATCAATAAAATGTTCTGCGGAAACGTTTTCGGCTCTTTACAAAATGTCACAGCGTCTTCTACACTTGGTTTTTGCATTCTTTCTCAACTTGTTTTTTGTCCCGAGATCTTAATCGATTCTAAAATCATCATTTTTATTTAACAATTATACGTATTTCTTGTTTCTTGCATTCTGCACAAATTAATTTACGCAATACTTAATATGTACATAAATATGTACACTTGCTGACAAAAGTTAAGAAACAAAGTAGTTATTTAAGAACTTTGGTGTACAAGTATATATGTATACCTACATATATATATACATATATATATATACACTACTAAGTGGTCAAAAATTCTGGTGGAGTGATGAAAGTAAATTCAATTTATTCTCCAGAAAATAATGTGCGGCGTCTTACTGGTCAGCGATTTGATGTTAAAAATACTACTTTGTTTCTTAACTTTTCTAAGTAAACATACATAAATTTTGCATAAAATTGTTGATACATAGAATAGTAATTTGTATGCGTTACAGCACACACATGTGCGTGTGGAAATGTGCACGTTATATATTTAATTGTTACTACTTGGTTTTTTGCAGAAGCAAATTGTACAGCGGCTACGTAAAGAAGTGGAAGCGTTCAAGGCGGACAACGCAAACGGATCGAAAATTTCCATACCATCTCTTTTAGGTCTGAACAATAACAATCACATTACAAACAATAACGAGACGAAGCATGAAGCTGCCGTTGAAAATGGATTTGAAACAAAATCTTCCAAAGAAGATTACGAGGAAGTTGTCAGAAATGGCGACGTTCATCGTTCACCCGAACAAGAAAACGATTGTGCAAAGTAAGCATGTGATGCTAATACGAAATGGTATAAAGAAATTTTTTAAAATTAACTTCTAAAATGTTTAATTACAAAATGTTTTTGTTACAATGTTGAAAAAAATTGTAGAATTGTTTTAAATCAGAAGTTTTTTTATCTCTTTGTAGATTATGTCCTAGTTCGGTGGAAACTATCTCCAATGAAGATGACGTCATGGAGATGTCAATGGACGAAAACTCTAACGAGAAGCAAGAAGAAATGCAACAGGAAGAACAAGATGACGCTGAATCAGCGGAACAACAAAGTTTCATGTATATTCTCGGACTTATCACTAAATCGAAATTTATAGAGCTTCAAAATAAGAGAGTAGAAAGAAAGCGTCGCAGCACGGCAAATCCGCAATTTGTGTATTCCATGCTTGAACAACCATCTGTAAGTGTAGGTGTAACTTTTTCTTTGATAGTTTTTTTTTGTAATCATTTGTGCCAATGAAGAAGCAGATTAGCATGGCCTTTTTTTAACGCATATTTTAGAAGCGAAAGAGACATACGTACCTGCAATCCGGAAATGCGCCACATACTCGGCAGACGACAGCGCGTATGAACGGTCCGTCACCACCACCTCTTAGCAAACCTCAGCCAACCAAATCTACCTCAACATCTCCACCAGCTCAAACAGTAACGAAGTCGCTGATTCCAATTCAAAGATCCATCACTAGGCCAAATATTCTCCGGAACACGGACAGCAAAGTCTTCGTGAATAAAAGCAAAGCCGAAGACAATCAAACGCGATCGTCCGTGCCTAGTGCCAAATCAATTCAGTCGATAAGCAATAAGACTGTTCACATACCTGGACTACCGTCTAGCCTGACTATCGAGAGAATCGAAAATGACTCTATCGTGTGCATCTGTTGTAGAAATCCAGGTGAGTAAACATAAACCAATCTCAAACACACAATATAAATTAAATGAAGGTTATATACGTATGTACATGTGTATATGTTATTAGTATATATTACATATTGTTATATTACATATTATATATATATATATATTATCATTAAAAAATGAGGTTTGATTGATGCGCATTTTTTCGATAGGTATATTAACGGTGTGCAAGAATTGCTCAAATAACTATCACATCTCGTGTCACATTCGATCATCGGCTCCAGCCAGAATATGCCCAAAATGTGTATTAACAATGGATGAAGATGAAGATGTAAAGGATGAAGTAGCTGAGATTGAAAGCCAAGTGGAAGAAGAGAACAAATTGCCGCGTTGCAAAAAAGATGAAAAATTCGGTAAATCGTCCTCGGTTTCTCAAAAGAGGAAATCCTCTCCTTACACTAGCACTAAGCGTGTGATTGACAAAAAAGTTCTTGTTCCTACACTCTTAGTACGTCCGTGATAGGCTTATTTCATTTCGCGGCAGCAACTTGACCGGGAGTCATTGATGTTTCCGGATTGTGAGAAAAAATCGGCGATTTTTTTGCTGCCTTCTCAATTGATGGATTGTAAAGATGCGAAACAAAATACGAGAACTAGAACCGAGATAAAGTCACAAAAGTCCGGTAAACCGGCGCAAAGCACCTTATTCTGAATAAGCGTACACGGATTTGTATAACATGAGTCCATAACTTCTAGATTTAACATACAACGAGGTATCGCAGCGTTGCCGCAGACTTAATTGAGTGTAAGCACGCACACACTGAGTAAACGAGAGAGGCAGCCTGCCGGAAGAAGTGTCCGCGTGTGAGACCGGCTTCTCGAATAACGGCCGAAGAATTTGCAATTAAGAAGAACTTTTTGGTCGATCGTCCACGATAGGGCACAAAAAAAACAACCTGTGTATTGAACGCAAAATATCTTGCAGAGGAAAAACAGAGAGAAAGATATGAGCTGCGCGAGCGAAACTCGGATCTGAGAATGCAAGTTTACGAATTGGAAAAACGCTCACAACTACTCGGCCAGTCATTTCAGGTTCGTCCTGTGGCCTGCGTGTAGAGAATTTTATAAACTTTATTTTGGAATGCTTTTGAGTTGATCGTTAACTTATCAATTACAATTTTGCATCCTTTTGCTTTTTTATCCCCATCATCAGAAAAAACCTGCAAGATCTCTGCGTTGGTATTTCTTGTTTTAGTTGTAGGACATTTTTATCTAGACAGATCGATTTTTAACCTTTAAATATATCTTACATGTATCTTTCTGAGAGATAAATCTCTCCGAGAGATAACGTATCAAATCAATTGAAGATCGACTGTTCAAAGATATTTGCTCAATTATTTTAATATATATATATATATATACAGGGTGTCCGACAATTACTTTAACATCTCTCGTAGGCAGGTAGAAAGAGTAAAACTGAGTCGAAAAGTCCTGAACCATTTTTTTCTATTACATATAATAAAGGAGTAATTATTGAATAAATCAAGCCAATCAGCGCCGACCTTTAGCCGGGCTCACGTCAGTGAGCCGCACGGAGCGCTCACGCACACCAGACGTGTAATTCACTGACGTGCGTTCGGCTAAAGGTCGGCGCTGATTGGCTTGATTTATTTAATAATTACTCCTTTATTATATGTAATAGAAAAAAATGGTTCAGGACTTTTTGACTCAGTTTTACTCCTTCTATCTGCCTACGAGAAATGTTAAAGTAATTGTCGGACACTCTGTATATCAGTTAGCTTTATTAAGGCTATCGCACAGCTGTAACCATAAATTGCCGTAGCTGTAACCACAGACGTAGAATATATAGATTGCGTGTTTGGCTGAAAAGATGTCTTTACGGTTGACAGAGACAACATACTTTGAACAGTAACTCTCTCTGTCTCAATGTCTGTGGTGGGATCGGGGCCTGCTGTTTCACACCGCTTAACCTGCCATCATCCCTTAATCTCTTTTATTCCTCTTCATCCCCACTATTTTTCTATCCCCACTTTTCCAATACTATTCTATCAATCAGCGAAGACTTCTTTTTCCCCCACTATTTTTTGCTAGACAAAGCTGAGGCTACAGTTCAACACCAGCTGTCTCTCTCAACGTTGAAGACATTTTTTTAACAAGGCAAAGATAGGGAACGCGCAGTCTATATATTCTAAGTCTATGGCCGTAACGTAAGACATGCCGTAAAGGGCCTTCTACACAATGAGATATTAGTAATAAATCAGAAGTCAGAAGCAAGAAATTGACCAATCACAGTCAAATCACAGAAGAATAATCGATTGTGATTAGTCAATTTCTTGCTTCTGACTTCTGATTTATTACTAATATCTTATTGTAGAAGGCCCTTAAGAATTGACCAATTACGATCGTTTGTACTCGAAAATGGCAACCGTGTGATTCGAAAATTATTAATATACGATTGATTAATTTTTATGGTACGTCTTATGTTACGGCTACGGCAATTTGTGTGCGAATGCCTTTAGGGCATTAATGCCTTTAATGCCCTAAGTAATGAATTTTGTTTTATTAATGCTCTGTGTAATTTATTTTATTCACCGAATTTACATAGAAACATAGAACGCATGATTATCAAAATTCTACACCTTTTGCTTTATTATTTATTATTATTATTATTATTATAGTTGGGAAACGAAAAAGATAAAGTAACATGAAATTAAAAAAAGTCTGTGAATTATTGAGACACATGATAGATTATTGAAAAATAATATTAGAAACTATTGTACAAATATTAATGAATTATTTCATATATATGCAACGCGCCAGATTTTGAGATTTTATGAAGAAATTTTTTTTGAAATAAACATTCTACAAAATATTTGCGATTCTTATTTTGCTAAAACTCATTTTGTACATCGAAAAAACTAAAAGACCGAGAATAGATATTAAGAACGCGATACTATCTGTGATGAATATATTAAAATTTAAAATAGTAAAAATCAAATGAAAAATTGGATCTCTGAAATCAAAATTACAATTTTGGGAAAAATGTGTACATATGTGCTTCTTGAACAATGTAACCACAAGAGTTGAAAACTTACTACATCTCAAATTGGGGATTCCATCAATTCTTTCTCGGTTCAAAGTATTTAATAAAAATTTTCTTCTATTTTTGATAGTTACAGCAGCGCTTGCACCAGGAGCTATTGGGAAAACAAGAGAAGACACAGAAGTCAATAAAACGACTAGTGGATTTCATAAAGTTGATACAAGCCAGAAAAAACACATCCTCTCCAGTACCTTCGGCGTCAACCAGTTGTCCGCCTCAACCTTCCTCATCCCGATCGCCCCAAACAACACCTCCACCTCAATCGTCGACCAATCAGAAAGCGGCAAATTCACTCCCGTCGTCGATACCGAACAACGACAGCAAGACATCGTGTCCCGCAACTCTCACGATCTCTACCAGCATTCACGATCGAGCATCACCTACGTTCAAGCAAGAGATCAAATGCCTTGCTCCTACCAATTGTCCAGTAGCGCCGTCCAGCAAGAAAAACATCAATCATATCTCATTGTCAAAGCAGTCGAACCGACTGGGAGGTGCAATCAGCCTAGTGACGGTGAAACCGACGACCAAAACCACTCTACCACCACTCGCTCAAGTAACAACCTTCAGCTCTTCTCAGGCCAAGGCATCACCCGGTGCAACGACATCCGTAAAAAGCAAATCAGTCAAGGAGTCCCATCGCTACACCGTGTCCCTTTACCAAAACTGTCAAATTCTCCTGCCGAGAACTTCTATCACTTGGACCGAGCGACCTTCAATGGCAGAAAGCCCTGGGCCAAGCTCACACGTGGAAAACTCTGTATCAATCAGTCAGCCAGACTCGCCACAGAGAACGTATTGTCTTTCTACAGCGACGCCGAAAACAACGATGACGAGCAAGTACAGCACCGACCAAAGTCAACCGGATCAGCAGAAGAGACAGGAGCAGCAGCGAACTTCGACAGTCGTAGTAAACACGGAACAAGAGCCAGCACTCTCATGCACACAATTTTCTCAAACTGTAACAAGCCCTATACCATCACCAGTCGTGTACGCGAGTCACGAAGCTTCGGCCCAAACGACCGAGACTATCCGCTCCTCCGACAGCAGCTCTGCCGCGCAGTGCACGAATTTGAATCCCGAGAACAATCAGACGATAAGCCAGCAACAGTCCAGCTCCAGCGGCGCGCTCTCACGAGATTCTTCGAGCACGTGAAATTGGAAGAAGCGCATATATCAGCGCCACTTGGAACAAAGCTAGCATCTCAGGACGAAGTCAATGACGATATTTCCCGAGAAAACACGCGCATCGATGACGGTGGTGCCGTTGCTGAAACTCCACTGTTGACGTCGTACGACGATCTGGACCGAAATCATGTGGTCGTCCGCTGGACAGAAAACTACCGTGACGATGGCAACGCCACCAACAACAAGTCGCCCGTCCATCATTCCTCGGACGTAGCCTTAACACATTCCGGCGATCTCGCCGGCTACGAGCTTGATCGCGATAACGCACAAGTCGATCTTCGATCGAACGATCAATCGGCGGCGTTCCGCGCTCTCTCGCTGCGTTTCGCACAAAGCAATCCGTGTACCCGTGTGGAACTTTCCAGTAAGGTTTCTGTTCCTGATGATAAGGCTGACACCGAGAGACAAGACTTATCCAGTGGTAGGCGATCGAAAAGCAGAAGTAGTAGCACCAGCAGCAGTGGCCATAGCGACACCCCCGAACAAGCAATGAACAGTGCGAGTGACCTCTTGAATGAATACGAACTTTTGGATCTTGACGTTATCTCTCCACGTGAAACGGTGGAGGAAGAGGAAGACGAGGAGGAGGAGGAGGAGGAGGAAGAGGAAGAGGAAGAGGAGGAGGAGGAGGAGGAGGAGGAGCCACGCGAATCTCTGATGGTGCGTGAGCCTGATCACGGTGACGCCACCACTGGCTAGACATAGTTAGGCTAATTATATTGACCTTGTGTTAAAGTACGTTTCGCAATTAAAAAATTTGTGGAGAGAGTCTCGGCGATGCGTTTTTCGTAAAATTCTCTCAAAAGAAAACCACCGTGTGTGCTTTTGCGCAAATCGATTTTCAACAAAAAACCAATTATATAGCGCTTACGTCACGATCATGTATTCTAGAAATATTTTATGGCGACATTCTTGTCAAGCTCTCGTGTCAATCGCCTGCATGATCGCGCATATATCCCGAAATTAACATAATTTGTATATATCGATTCTTCTGTAATTAATTATCTTAAATCAAACAAAGTCGTGGCGACTCTACTATTTTTTCTGCTATTTAATTTTGTACGTATTTTTTTGCAGAACGAATCGTTACTTCCTACGTATAAATTACACAAGTGTCACACATACGAGATTCTTAATTTATTGCACAGAGGTCATGACACTTAGAAAAAAGTCATGTTCTTTGTGGCCATCAAATATTCACATATAAGGTAAAAACTTTGAAACCGAAAGAATCCTTTAACTAAAGGGAGAAACATGTGAAGTTTTGAAAACTGTCTCTCTTCTAAAATTGGCGTTTTAAAGTTACGGGATTGACGTAACTCCAAAATGCAAATTTATATACGTAGGGAGTGACGAAATTATCGCCACTATGTTTCGTTACGTGTTTGTTTGTTTGTTTTTTTTTTTTTTTTTGTTCTATTACATATCAAAGTCTATTAGTGATGCAAATGTATTTTTTTGTCAGTTACATTTCTCTGTACTTACTGACAAAAAAAAACAAATCTGTAGAAAGTTGATTGGTAACCGCAACTGAGTGGTTAAAGAATTTAATCGCGTTCTTGTTTCTCATTGATTTACATAACTCGTGCAATGATTTCCGTTACAAAATATAGAGAAGTCGCCGGAAAAAATTTACTATACTTTTTTTTTTCATTAAATTATTAATCGCGTTCGTACATATAAAAAGGAGCATGTATATATATCGGGAAACCAATGTTTTTAGTCAAGTGTGAGAAATCACGCATCAACATTACATTGCCGCAGACACGTTGGTGACTAAACAAATACGATAATTGATGTCACACAGGTGTGATGCTAATGAGAGAAAATTGTTTTTTTTTTTTTTTTGTTTTTTTTTCTGTACATTTCGTATGTGTATATATATCTTGTATTTGTGATTCTATGAATAGAGAAACAAGTACATATCCGAGATTTTGCGTAATATTAACGTTTAGAGAAAGAAAGCCTAACTATATACGTGAATCAAGTCATATTACCATACTGCCTTAATAGTGATGTAAACGTGGTTCTTTGTAAAAAGAGAGAGAGAAAAGAAACAAACCGGCAATCAGAAAGTTATGCGCATCCCAGTAAAACTACACAAACGTGTGTGACGTGTAATCTCGATGATTGAGGAAACGTTGAATGAAACAATACGGTTTATAATCAAATCCTCGTTACCATAATTGAAAATGTAGATATTAAGAGTCGTCGAGTCCCATAGAGAGAGAGAGAAAGAAAGAGAGAGAGACTCGATCAGAATCTATTGTTCCGTTTCTCACAAAAGTTGTATCCTTGCCGAAAAGAGTTACAAGAAGAGAGAGAAACAGAGAGACAGAGAAAGAAAGTTAAAAGAGTGAAAAGGGAAAGAAGATTTATGTACGCGTATGAATGATTGCTACGTTTTTTCTTTTTGGTACAACTTCGATGTTTGACAATGAATGAATTTTAATGCGATAGTGATTTTTTTCGCTTCAATGAACCGATCTGTGATCTTTTGCAATGTTCTGCAAACAGAGTCCAGAATTGACCGTTTGAAGGATACAAGTACTTCGATAAAAAATATCGATACTATTATTATTATCATTATTATATAATTATTACATTATTATTGCTTAAAAATACGATAGTAATTTTTAAGTTCGACGAGCCATATTAATTATTTATTTCATATTAATGTTAAGTTCTTTTAAGGGCGTTATCGCTGCCGGTTTGCTCGAAATATTTAAGTATTGTATAAAAGTAAGGAAAAAGTTGTTATGCAATTGTAGGCAACGGAGAAAGTGAGATCGAAATTCGTATTTTTTATGAAATAAAAAAAACCGCTGAAATAGCATACACTTTTGTGCACGTGCTCTTCTCAAGTGTAGATCGAAGAGTCTGCAATCCATTTGTTTTTTCTTCAACACATTACGTACTGCCCCAAAAATCATATCCTACCTAATTACCTTTATCCTGTCATACAAGTGAAAACTGTTACGTACTACGTAGAAAAAACAAACTCTTTCACTTCCTTTCGGACCGGATTTTTTTTGTTTTGTGTGAGATTTTAAAACTGAGGCAGAGTATCGAGCAACCGTGTGTACCCGTCCGAATCGCGAACGGGGATCCCGTTGAAAAATGGCTAAAACCGCCGGTGATGTGCAGGGAGTGCGGCAAGAGTTACTGACTTGGACAAACAATCGGCTAATGACATGTAAATATGGCGGAGCTAATCAAGCGGCTGTGCCAACAGGCCACGGGAAGAGAGTACGACGGTGTGTGCGGGGCGTGCACACCGAGGTCTCTCTCGCGAGGGAGCGAGCAGAGCGAGTATTCGATACCCCCGATGTATTTGCGCCCTCCCCCTCCCTCCCGACCTGCGCACATGCATCGCGCTGTAGCAACGCGCGCGTACATATTTAATGGTTGCACGTTAATTGCGCTCTGTTTGCCCATTCCCCATTCTACGCTCCATCTACACGTCCACCTGCATTCTCTTCACCCTTTCCGTGCCGCAATTCTCCTTTGTTAGCGTGCGTGCGTGCGCGCGCTGCCGCGCGCGGTTCGATTTTAATCAATTCACCTCGAGCACCTAGTTGGTTCACGCTCGAAATCCCACGGAAACCTACTTTCGCGCATCATATTGAATGCACTCATTTCCGCGTTTACCATAACGAATTTCCAGCCTGCCGGTAAACGTGCGATCTCGCGCGGATACGCAGTTATTTTCAACGGGGGGAGAGAGAGAGAGAGAAATAGGCTGCGTGCGGGCGGGAGTTCGAATGCGAACGATGAGAGAATTTCATCCGGATTAAATTAGATCTGGAAGGCATCGGGAAATGTGAGGGGATGCGCGCATCATCACCACCACCACCACCACCACGCGTATACACAAGCTCGCAAACGACAAAGAATACGTTATTGTTCAAAGTCCTTTAATTATTTTCTTTTGCATCATAAAAGAGAAGAATCAGAAATGAGAAGTCTTGTTCTCCATAAAACATATTTTTTACACTACTTTGCTTTTTCTTCTCTTTAAACGTGTACTTGCTTTACGAGAAACGAGCTAATTAGAAAATTCTTTTTTTTTTCTCTTGCGCACTCTAATAAAATAAAAAACATATATATACCGCAAATCTGGCATCGCATTTCTATGTTGTTGCGAACAAACGAAGAGATTTGTTATTTTCGCATATCTCGATGCCGTTCGAGTTTCGCCATTCGGCGCAAAATTGTGGCGTTTTCCAGCGTGGCGAGCTAAAACGCCGAGTAACTCATTTACCGGAAACAATTGTCCGTAAAATTGATTCGCGTACGGTTCTTGCACCCGTGTGGGTGCAAGGATTCGATCGCGCGCGGGATTCGTCGCGGCGTCGAATTTCGGACATCGAATTTTTCGGAGACTGTGTGCTCGTTACGTGCCTCGCTTGCGATCCTGACGTTAATTGTCCGTTAAGCGGGTTGAAACGCGCGCGCGCGTGTCGTTGTCCTGCAGGAGCCCGCATGGAGGTTGACGAACATCCTCTCTGGGATCGTACGCTGGGAGAGACAAACGAACGCCGTGTAGGATGGACAGGTGGGGGGAGGGGGAGAGGGAAGAGCGGGAGAGAGAGCTCCAAAGAAATTTTAATCAAGCCGATCCCACGTTTGTGTGTGTGTGTGTGAGTGGGTGGCTGGTTGGCTTCGTGCGTCGCTTACGCGCGCGCGTGTGTATGTGGATATGTATGTGTGTGTGTGTGTGTGTGTGTGTACGCAGACGCGCACTCGCCTCCAGTTCCGCGGTAAATTACACATACGGGTTCCATTACCGGACCTCGTTACTTTGGAATCGAAAGCCTCGGCATCTCTCCCGGCCACCGATGTTTCCCGGTGCTACGGAGGAATCGATATCTTCCAATAGCGGGGAGCTATCAAGCGCCGTTTAGCGACGTTCGGCGAAGAGCGCAAGCGAAAGAGAGTCGCGGAGAAACGTCGTTTTTTTTTTTTTACGAAATTCGCTAGAATTAATAGAAAACGGAACATGTAAATTAGCGCGCGTGTTGACTTCTGACAAAATTACCTTGGAATTGTTACGATATTAATTTACTCGCACAAGTGTACGTGCGCGCGAAAGAGAGAAATAATGTGCGCTTGGACACAAGTTAAAGTTATCCCGGAAAAGAAAAGCGTAACGGGAGAAAACGCGAAGGGAACACAGACATGGCTCCCTTTATATATATATATATATATACATCCTTTACAATCCTTTAACGATGACACATTACTTCCGAGTCTTCCCAATGGTCGCAATTCCGGCTACGTTACTGTCACTTAGCGAGCAAAGTCGCGAATCTGTCTCGAAGGAGACCGACGAGTAATCTTCTCTCAAGATTCACTCCGAAAGACCGAGTCACAGAGGTTCTACGTGTATATGTTTGCAATTTTTATATTGCGTGTCAAGAGAGAGATATTAATTAAATAGTAACAGTAACTTAGTTACTTCAGCTTAGGCCAAGAAGAGAACTTGGTCCACAACAAGAGAGATTAATTTATAGACTATTGGAACATTTGATTAAAAATGATCAATTTGCGAAAGAATCTGTTTTAAATATCTCGCAACGTAAAAAAAAACAGAAAATTCTTCAATGTCACTACCGTTTTAAGTTTTTCTTCTCAAGTTGTCGCTTCTTAGTGCAATTCCAAACTCCCCGCGTGTGACGGGAAATTATTCGAAAACAACGGTGCCGGCCATTTGAAATTGCAAGCGATAATCAAGGTGAGAGCAGCGTTCTCTCGAAGATATTTGCTAAGTTTTTCTCAAGATATAACTGCGCAACTGCGAAGGGAAAGGATAAGAGCGACTAAAAGATAAGGGTGTGAGCTGAAGAATAGGAGGTGGGGTCCTTAGTGGCGTGTCGTCCTTCTCTTCTTCTACATCGTTTCCTTCCAGGCGCGGGCAAGTGCGACCGATGAGACGGACCGGCGAACGGTTAGTTAAGGAACACGAGAAAGCACTTCTGGATCACTCTCGGCGCTCGCGTCCCTCCCTCCGCGAGCATCGTCTCGGATACGAAGATACGATCGACTCTCCCCATAGATATCATCTCGTGCATATAATACGTCAATTTCACGCGCGTTCGTCGACACATGTGACGAAGACTGTATACTTTCGTCTTATTATTATTCTTTGGTCCGCTTTTACCTCTTGGTGGTTTTATTTGTTGCTCGAAACATCGAATCGTCTATAGTTACTCTCGAAATAATTAGTAGAGACAAATCTCTTAGTTTACGTTTTCACATTGTTCAACTCATTTTCGATAATTTCCGATCATATCCGCGAGACTGTGTTACGAGTATCATCGAGTTACATAAAAGAGAAAAGTCGGGAAGAAAGAGCGATTCTTCGAAGAGAAGAATCCTGACGGCGAGTCGTTCGTCGTCTCATCCTTTTTCGTTCTGTCGGCGGATTTTTCTGCGGCGCGCGCCTTTTTCGCGCGAAACCGAACTCAGAAGCGATGCATCATAATCAGGCGGTCAACTTACTTAGTCCGGAGTGCTGCGCGCTTAAGTTAATTAGCTAATTACTAATTTTAATCGGATGACGTATGCGCATCTCGAGGGATACAAGCAAACCCTCTTAGCTGGGGGATAGCTCACCTCCCCCTAACTCCTCGCACACTCTCACGCAAACGCGCGCACACACACATATACATATCGCCTCTCTCTCTCTTTCCCTCTCTCTCTCTCTCTTTTCTCACCCTCTCCTTTCGACTTCGCTATCCCCTGTCGTATATGTCCGACGGAGTAATTCCACGGTCTAAGTAATTTAACTAAAACTTCTCGGACATTTTTCCACCATTTTCGACCGTCGAGACTCCCTCTCTTCCTTTCTCGTCCCGGTGCGTTGCGCGAGCGTTCGTTTGTCGCGAACGCGCAATTTCTCGGTCTTTGTTGACCGGACGTGTACGACGTCCGAGAACGTTTTATTCAGGCAACGAGCGGGGCAACTCTTATGCGCGCGTAAGAGAACCGTCGAATATGAAAATAAAAACCGTTTTCCGTGTTTTGCGAAAAAATCGCAGTAATTACGTCGCTTGTGAAAAAGACTCGTGAGGAACAAAAACAAACAAAAAAAACAAAAAAAAAGACGAAATAAGACGAGTCGCGGAGAGAATCTGACTATGTCTCTTTGACGGTGTTTTAATTAATATCAATGTAACGTCGATGTGTATCGCGTTAGGGTCTTATTTTGTAAAGCTGCAAATACAGAAAGAGAGAGAGAGAAGGAGAGCAAGCCGATAGTGTTCCGAGAAAAGATGGAAAAAAAAAAAAAAAGAAATCTGGACGAGAGAGCGGTCAGGGCGAGGAGATAGTAAAATCTAGACTCGTTTCGTTAACGAGACACGGGTACGATTACAAGGGGATAACGACCGCCCTTGGAAAAACATCGAGCCAGACCGCTGGACATCGCGCGCGGCGCGCGGTCTTTTATCATCACTCGGCCGCGTCGATAATGCGCCGTTGTTAACGCGTCTGAATTCAATATCTAGCAGTCGACAAATTGGCAAGGAAAAGGAGGGGAAAACGGAGAAAAGCTGTCCACATGAAACACAGCGTTGCGTCGTTTATTAATAACAACGATAACGCATCTGCGGCGAGTGCGCGTATAAGCTTTCGCGATTTCCGTCGCGCCACTTACACGGGAGAAAAACACCGGCCGGCCGCGCTGTGCGCGCTTGCTCGCCAATGAGATGGGAATTAATTAATCGAGGATAAAGCAAACGAGAAAGATTGCGAAGAAGAGAATGATCCTGGATATCGGCGAAAAGAATGAAGCTGATGTATGAATAAACGTTAAAAATTCCGCCTGTCGTT